ACAAAATCAGCACCAATACAATTCAGGATTGTCCGATGTACTGATGACTTCACATGATACTGTTAGAGCTTCTTTGGTAAAATAACTTACAGGCCAGAGGACAAAAATGTTGCTGGGATTAATTTTCTGGAGGCTTCAGTCTAGGTTTGGGTTTACTAGTTGTTTTCTTTTAGTCCATGGTATCTCATTAACAAAATGTGTATTCTCAACAATGTCATGGAGCTGTAGATTTGTTATCACACTATTTTCATGATAATTTTATCTGATGCCAGAGACTACTGAGTCACACTTTGCTTATGTACAAGTCCTTCCTTTGCTGTGTCTCCTTACTGCTCCCTTATAAGCACCGTTTAAGTCTCCTCTCTTCTGTTACTCCTTCAAAAGTGATACGTGTCTTCAAAGCTGAGATGATCTTCCTTTTTATAGGGATGATACGAGTTAATGATCCACAGCTTACATGCACTTAAGACTTGTGTAAAAAATCATTTGCTTTTGATAACATTCATTCTATGGCATAGGAATCTGTATATGTTTTCTTTTTTTTAAACATAGAATTTAAGACGGTATTCACAGTTAATTGCATTGGTATCATTTTTATGATATAATAGTCATGACATTTCTTCCACCCCCACACTTGAACCAATCTCTCTCTCTTCAGTGGGAAAGCACATGCCGCAAAAGTAATAAAAATTATAAGCCCTGTAGTGTAAAGCAAATCTAAAACAATCCAGGACAGACATATTTTTACATACAACTTAAGTTTAAATTTATTATAGTAGACTGATCCCTTGCTTAGCCTTTAATAAAACAGGATTCAAGGGTATTTATATCTAAATAAAGAAATTAATTTTATTTCATTCCTCCTGTCCTATTGTATGACACTGAAAGAGTAAGATCTTTGTGTTGTAAAAGGAAAGAACATTTAAATTGCAATCTTAAGAGGAATAACTGAAATGAATGTGTTTCTGCTTGAGGACTCTCCTGGAGGTTGGTACTGTAAAGTCTAAGCTGGAAGTGAGGCAGAGTATCAGTAGGAACCAGAAGGGAAACGTAGCAGTATACAGGCCCCAAATTATTTCAGCTGGAATTCTATTGATTTTAATGAAGCTCCACTAGGGATGAATTTAAACCACTACAAAGAAGCGTTGATCTGGCATTTTACAGCTAGGATCATGCTTCTTATGCTGAATGCTAATGCTCACTTTTCAAATGTCAGAGTTGTTTAATTACTTTATTTCACCTTTTAATTTTTGAAAATATATAAAATGTTGCCAAGGGGCATTGGAGTGGAAAGGACAAGTCAGTTGCATTCATTCTTTTTCACTTTGTTTGTACTGAAGTAATGCCTATGTATACTAATCATACCTTAGCACACTCAAAATATACATCAATTAGGTAAATAATATACATCTGATATACCATATATCACAAGAGGATGAGGGACTTATAGTTGAATGTAAGGGGTGCTTGCAGGCTAGATCTAATGGACAGGAGGAGCCTGGTAAGTCTGGAGACACCCTTAGAGTGATATGTTGCCTTGTCGCTGGGTCTGACACTTATTTTCTGCAAACAAGACTGGGGGAGGCAACATTTTATCTGCTTTTATGAGCTCTTCTGGCCTTTGCAAGCAGTAGAACAAAATATGAGTGTTCACACAAACTACTTTTATTTCAACAGCTCTGAGGAAAATAACAACAAACATTAACTAACATGCTTGAGATCACATGCAGGGTAGATTTATTGAGAGAAGAGCAGGGGAAGCGTAGCGGCCTTTTCCCTGAAACGTCACCCAGGAGGGCGTGTGCTTGAGTCCATTATAAAGAAATACAGTTGTGGTCTACCACTTACACTAAATTTCATTAATGATTAATTGATTGTTTTTGATAAGGTGATGTGAATGGAAAAAAACACCAGTAATGACCAGTGCAGTCTCCAATTCTAAAATACATTGTGATTGAATCTTCAGTGCTGGATTTTTACTAGAAGCAATCCTGTCTTTTGCTTACTGAAAATATCAGAGGGCTTTGATGTGATCTGTGTGGCAGAACAGTATATAAAGTTCCTTAAAGCCTGGAGGCAGAGTGCTGCTGCTGCTGGACACTGTGCATAAAGGCACATCTGCCACATCTCTTTCCCTGGCCCATGGATCTGATGCCACAGGGATAGAATAAGGGTATTTCTTAGCACAGTGCTGCCATAAAACAACAACAAAAAAACATATTCAGACAAGTTTGGAGGGAATGCATCTGTGAGGTGTCCAGCTGCACAGCATGGCTCAGCCATGCCCATGTTGGAGCTGTTGCTGCAGGCAGATTCAGGCCTCTGCCTTGCACTGCCAGGCTTGCATTGGCAGTGGTGCAGCTCACAGGTGATTTGGCTGGATACCCAGAAAGGATGCCAGGACTTGACCTCTTCTGAGATGATGTGACCAGTGGCACGTTCTTATCCTATGTTTCACTATTTAATTGTGAGGCTTCTTTGTACTCCGTTTACTTGACTTGTGGCAGGAGTGGTAGGCTTCGTCCTTCACCCAGTGTTGCTAAGGTGGGACAAGCTCTCTCTACCATACCTAATTTTTTGCTCTTCATTGCCTACAGAGATTTCCAGATAGAAATTTGGTATTGTATGAGGAGAGTTCAAAATATTCAGTGCCTCATTCTTCTTCCTTTCTTATGGACAGCCCTCCTTTACTCCTCCTGTGGAAGAGCACCTGTTCTCTGGTGATGGCTTGCCCCAGAGACAGAAGGGTGGTTACGTTTCACAGTACAATGCTTCATTAAATTATTTGATAAGCCCTTTGGGTGAGGTGCCAGCTACCCCCCACACTGGCTGCCAGCTCCCCAAGCAACTGCTCCTGGTGGAGGTGCAGAACTACCTCCTGAGCTGGGAGAGCTTGGTCTGGGTCCAGTGTTGAGGGTGCTCCAGTATTGTCCATACTATGATTAATGTTATCCTTGTGAAAGGTATAATATCTCTAGCTGCGCCCGCTATCTTCTGGGGCAAACAGAAGGCAGAGAGAAATGAAGAGATTGCTTTGACGTGGAGGTCAACAGTTCATTTTGCTGGAGCAGATCTCTTTTTTCTGTAGGGTTTCTTTGACTTTAGTAGAATAGTATTTATTTCAATTAATTACATTTAAGTGGGCATGTGGTATTTAAGATGAGAAGTGGGCGTGCTTCCCATGGAGATGGGAAACATACGGCAGCATTCCTTGGACTGTACATTTCTGAAACAGCTTGGGGCTTCAGAATTCAGCTAAGAAACTTGCTACTGAGGTTTTGGGAGTGTGTTGCTTGTTCTTGTAGGCTACATTAAATTTGACGCATAACGGGGTCAGATTTTTCTCCATGATTTTTAACTACTTTTGTTAGCTGTACACAGATGCATCATTTCATCTTGACGAAGTACTTACTGAGCTCTAATTATAAGCGAGTACTTACAGCATTGATAGTGTTGGAGAGAAGCACATGTAATTTTTTTGCAGGTAATAAAATGGAAAATCCAATTTGCTGTTGCAAAGTACACCTCTGAGTGATGCATGATCTTCATAGCAGTGCTGGCCAGAGGGCTGCTGCTCATTGCGGCGCGGCCGCTCTCCCTGGAGGCCTGTGCCTTACAACTGAGTAGAGAGCATTGAGGCTGTCTTCAGCCAGCCCGAACAGATTCCTGCAGCCCACCTTCTAGCTTATTAGGTCCTCGTTGTCACAGTGCTTAATCCTGCTTCCTGATCCTTGCTACAACACCAGAGTTGCACGTCCCATAATAAAGGAGATGGGTGTGAGGCCCCTAACTGGGTGCACCAGAGCATGAGGCAGTTAGGGCAATTGCTGCTGACTGACAGGGTGAGATGCTTCCTGCGTGTCGTTATTTAAAAAGAACAGGCCTCAGACAGCTGACAGATGAGCTGGGCAAGGTAATGGTAAGTTGTTGATAGGCGATATGAGATGTATGACATCTTTTCACAGAATATAATGGTCTGCCTTTACTCTAATTGCATTAACCCTTTGTATTAAGAAAAGCACAGTAATGATTAGCAGGAATGCAGAACATGGGGAAATGCAAAGGGCTGGCAGGAGCCTGTAGCATACATTAGTCCTCATGCGACTTACACAGGTGCCTTTTGTTTTATAGAATGAACAGATCAGGTTGCTTTTAGAATTCTGTGACAGCTTGGCTTAATTGTTCTTTAAAACCTTGAATTTTTTTTGTTTCATTTCCCATGGTTTTCTGTTGTTTTGTTTTTCTTTTTGTATTTGTGACTTTCCTTTCTAGCAGTAGTGCTGGGACTCAATTAGTCACAAAATTCACAAAGTAAAGATTTGAGATGGTAGCAAATATATATATATTTTTTTAAATTTAATTCAAAGAATACTTATTTCAATGGCTAGGCAAGAAGCCCATTGGGCATCGTGTTGGCGTGGTGTTTGGAGTAGTCATTGAGAAATGCTTTGCAACATTAAGCTTCAGCAGAATTAAATCTTACTGTAATGTCGTTCACCGTTCATTCCAGCAGGCCATGGCAGACAGGGATGTCTTGCTGACTTGTCCTGTAGGCCTAAAGGGTATGTTTAATGGTATGGTAATGTGAAACTTCTGGTGCTGCGATAGAGCTGGGAAGTTCAGAGAGAGGCATCAGAAAGCCCCAGGTTCTTATTCACTTGTTCTGGCATTGCTGACTGAATGTATTCCTGTGCAGGACATCCCAAAACCTATCCAGTAATTAAGCTCTGCTTCAAACTAACTCAGTGAATAAATTTTACACATAGCAGTCTGAATTCAATCCTGCCGTGCAATATGTTGTATCACTGAAACGAATATTGTGCAACTGCATCTGTCATGGTGGGATCTGCTCTGTCCTCCTTTTCCACTCCATTAAACCTGAAATGTTTCCTTTGATTATGTTTGTACTCTCCAAAATGAATGGTGTTTTATTCACAGCAAGATGTGTCTTTAAACTTTTTTGTATTTCATTTTTTTTTTTTCCTATGCTATTTCTTCAGGTAATTTGGATTTGACTGGTCAGAAGCAAGTCTTCAAAGCAGAGAACAATCCTTGGGTGACCCCTATAGCTGACCAGTTCCAGTTGGGAGTGTCTCATGTTTTTGAGTACATTCGATCAGAAACATACAAATAGTAAGTATCATGTCACACTGTTCTGTGCTATCAGTGATGGATTTTTTTCCTGTAGTGTGCTTAGCAAAATGTTATCAGCTACACCCTTCTTTCATAATCCACACATTAGCTAGGGATTTGGGTCAAATATGCAAACTGTAAACTTATATTGAAGAGTTTTGCTAAAAGAAGAGTAAATAAATGTGATTTAGGCATGTTAAGGAAGTACAGATATTGCTCAATATTTTCCTACGTTTGTTGTTTCTTTCTAAGAGCTGTTAGGTAACATGAGGAAGGTAAAAGAGCAAGAATTACAAGCCTCAGGGATATTAATTTTAAGTAAGTGCAATAAGGTTTTATAGATTGAAATAAGTGTTCATTGATGGCTTTGGCTGTGAGTTGTTGTGTGTTGAAAAAAATGTCCAGAATTCAGACTTTTTAATCTGGACCGGTTTACTTAAGTCCCTAACTTTGCTAATTCAAATATAGATACTAGAGCTTTCTTCAACAGTGTAATTGGATAAAATAGCCCTTCTGCTGGGCTTCTCATTTTAATTCTAAAGTTTGTACAAATGCAGAATATTTGTTTGGGAAATAATGTCTTTAATAATTCACTGAATTAAAGTATTTATTTGCACTGAAAATATTCGTGTTACCAGTCCACAGTAAAACTTCAGATGGGAAGTTACTTCTGTGTCTGGCAACTACTTCAATGCTATCTTCCTAGAAGCAGTAGGTAATATAACAGACAGTACAACTGCTAGGTTGGAAACTTAATTTTTGGTATTATACCCCTTTACTTAAAAATGTATGTTAGTAATTTAGGGGTATTTATGAGAGTTCTTAAATGGTAGCTGTCAACTCAATTACCAAAAAAGCCTAAGTAGGGGAAGGTTTTGGGGTTCCAATTAAGTAACTGAGATCTGAATTTCTGTATGAAACTATAAATTATCCAGTAGTGGCTTTTGTATGCTGTTCTTCATTAAAAGAATTTAAGTGATAAGAATCATAGCTGAGAATGTGGCTACAAAAACTGTGCCTCAGAAATGTCCTGATCTTTATCTGGTAATGCATAGTTCTCAAGATTATTCATGTAGGCTGTACTACTTTTCTTCTGGTAGTGTTCTGTACAGCAGACATGGTACAAGGTGGCAGCTATCTGTCATCTTAGAGTATCCCCACAGTCCATTGTATACCTGCATCTAAGTTTTCTGATAACTTATGTTGTAATTTCTTATGATCAGTTTTGTATTTATCTTTGAGAAGTATAAATTATGGTCTTTCATGCAGTTCTCATGCAGATAGCAGAGTTTCAAGGACTGAAATAAGTATTTGACACACAGTAAGTTTTTGGGGGAGCTCTTGGTAGGTACTTCTAAAAAAAAAAGTACTTATAAATAAAAATAAAAAAAGATAGTAAGGAATGACTTTATAGCTGTTGAGTAATAAACCGCTTGAGTAACTCTTTTTTTGCAACCCAAATCTTCTGACGTTCATCAGTTATTGTAACTGTTGCTCTTTGTTTTAAATAAGCCCTGTTATGTTTGCTGTCTCATTGCTGCTGAGGTGTAATGGTGTCTTGTTGTCTAATGGACAGATTTTCATTTTGTCCACAGTAAATATTTGAAGCCTCTGAAGTTAACAATGTAAGCAAAATCAGATTCTAACCGTTAGTAAGTAGGAGGAAAAATAGAATTGAAGAGTCATTCCATGGCTCATTCAGAATTTTACCTAGATATTAGCAGTTAGAATTTTGAGGTGTATATATATACACACACTTCATTATTGTCTAAGATTAGTGATGAGAAAACAAAAGTGTGCAGATGTTACTAGTTCAAGACGACATTATTTTCAGCACAACCGTATTACATGTAAATCATTAATTTAAAATATCAATATAGTTAGAATCTCAGTAGCAACATCTTTTGGTTCTGGACTGCAGTTATTTCACATGTGCTATAAAGGGAATTTGTGGATTTCCATAATGAAAAGTTGTCCTTTTTATCTCCAGTTTTCTTTAAATATGTGATCTGAGAATTACTTGCATACCACCTGCTAAACATATTGTTCAATTTGCGGAAAGTCGATTTTAGGTCTTAACAGTCATAAACAATGGCATAATCTGGTTAATGGGTCTAGCAGCATAACTGTGCACAAAAGCAAAAGTACTGTGAATGTGAAAGAAATTAAAACTTCTTTTGAAGTTTTGATCTTTTCCCTCTAACATCTTCAGGTTCCTTTTTCATTCTGAGTCTATGTCCAGGTATTGTATCTTTTTTCTCATTAGACAAATCACTAAGCTGAGGTGTGAATATAGTAATTTTCTCTGTAGAAACTTTATGCAGGTTTGAGCACTTGGATTTCTGCAGATCATTCAGACAAGAAAAAATATTTTAAACTAACCTACATTTGATAGAGCCAGTCAGCTTACTTTTTACTCTGAGACAAAGTAGTATACTTAAACAGATTATTGGGTACTGTTTGGGTTACGTCACTTCCAAAACTGAGAAAAGAGAACAATAACAGCTTACAATCATTCTTTTTGTCTCAGATCAGAAAGTTTACATTCAAATACTGGGAGATGTGGGCTTTCATAAAGTGGGAACTATGCATCTATAAGGTGTAGATGGATTTTGAGCTCCAGGGATGGTAATTGTCTCCCTGTGCCCATTCCTTTTGCTGGCTGATTGGAAATATTGATTTTGCTTTGTTTAGAATCTAACATTGTCTGTACTAGCTCAGACAGAGAGGGTACGCTCACACAATCACAAATGCCAAGTTATGTTTCACTAAATGGTTTACGTTAATATATTTTGTGTTTGCAATGTCTATAACATCATATTTACTCTGTTGCTGGTATCTCAGCCAGAACGTGGTAGCTCAGTGAGTACTGACAATTTGCTCGTTTGCAAGACGTCACTAAACCTTGAGGTTTCTCTTGGTGCCTGGCACAAGCCATCACTGTGCTACAGTCACCATCAGAGTTTTCCATTCAGATTCTGTGAGGCTGCTTTTGTGAAACTGCTAGCAAATAGATCAAAATAGATCTTCTTTCCCTTGTGAAGTAAAATGGTTGTTTCAAGCAACTCGGTGAAAAATTTCACCCCATTTTTAGCTTCATATTAGGATATTCCTGCTCCAGTGATTAATTGGTAAGTAGGGATGACACCCAGAAGGGATGAACATTTCTGAAGATAAAATGTCATTGTCTCACATACTTTTACATTTTCACACTTCTGTTTTACATGGTACTTAAGCACCGAGAATTAAATTGGAATTGCACTTTACTTCAGAAGCGTGTTAGCCACTAGGCCCCTCATATCAGCTGTTCCTACTTGGTAGGCGCTTTCATTTCCTTTAATTTCCTCACCTTTCATGAGAAATGATGCCAAGTGATTTTTCAGCTCTCATTTTTCAAGAAAGACATGTGCTGACAAGAAGATGGGCTATATATTGTGTTAGAAAACGTGTGTGGAGGGGCTTTTAATTCTGAACAGGAAGCTCAGAAGTGCATGGCACTTCACTGGCTTTTGTTGGCTAAAATACACCCGCTGTACATATCATCCTATGACAGCATCATTTGGAAATAGGTCAGTTTGTCAAGAGTATAATGATTCTTAATCTCTGATCGCCATGGTAGGTAGCTGTTCAGGTAGTTAGCTGAATCTTGGCCTTGATTCTGTGTGTCCCCAGGAGATGCCATTAAACGCCCCATGTGGCTCATGGTAGGATTGAGAAGCAGTTGAAAAACTTTTCCAGACAGTAAAGGCTAATGACAACCTCATCTCCTCAAAGGGCTTAACTAAATGTTTTATTTTTTATTCATGTGTCTAGTCAACTTTCCCAGTGACCTTTTTGTTATAACCACATTCTCAGAGGATCTTCACTGTCTAGGATACCAACAAAGAAATGATGCATTGTTTGATTTAGTGGCTATGATGTACTTAGGTGCAAACAGACACAAATGTTTGAACGAAAACAGTGAATTAAACTCCTATGAACAACTGAAACTCTATGGTGCTTATCAGGACTGGTGTAAGATAGTGGTTTAAAGTTCAGATGTGTGATTGCTACCTGGGATGGGGATTGGTTTGGATGCTGACATTCACAGTAAGACTTATCCAGAAAGCTGCCTTCTGGGTGTGCTTCTGAGATTAATCATGTGCTCTTGATCAGTCTTCATGTGGAACTAGCTCTTAGCTTGTTTGTTCTCATAACAGGAAGGGTAGGGGTGTTGCTTTTGTCACAGCAGTCTGGTGGTATAACCTCAGATAAAATGAAATAATGTGCCTGATGCTGGTTGTGTAGAATAGCATTCAGACTTATAGCATGTCTAGGATGCTGTTGAACCTGGCACTTACCTTTTAACACTTTGTTTAGCAATTGTTGTCTTCCTGTTTGACCTCCTTATCTCAGTGAGGCAGAATTATGATAGAACACTCCCCATTAGTTAAATTTCTAGAAAGCAAGCTTTCCCCATGAGACAGTCAGCGTGGCCAGGAATCTCAACAAGATGTTTGGTGAAAAGAAGTAAGCTGCACTTTTCACATTTCCATCAGAAAAGGTGATAGAAGAGCAAGGCATTTCAAAGACTGATACATTAACTCTTAGCAGTGGAAATGGTTTGATAAACTCTATGCTGAGCATATATTGCTTAGCAACATTGAAACAAAGCTCTGAGCTGACCATTGTAATTGAAAACCTCATTTTATTGTCAGTGACAGTCTGCTAGAATCCACCCTTGATCCAGTCCCCTATCTAGCAGCAATCTCCTCTCCAGCTTTGTTGTTCAGAAGAAATTGTTCCACTGAACCCCACTACTATGTGGCAGCAAATCCCTCTGCTTCCAAATCAGCAGTCACAAGTCATGGAAAAAGAGATTCTTCTTCTGGGTTCTAATAATGAAGAATTTTTCTTGATTTGTTTTTTACAGCTAGAAGAGACTGGCAAGATACTAAGAGTAATGCACTAACATACAAGTAGTATCTGAAAATAACTTGTGTATTCTTTGGGAGTTTGTGGAATAGAATGTCTTGTGCTAGTTTTCTCTTAGGTTCAACTCTGCAAATACTTATATTCTAGAGCAGATATTCTTGTTGTTCCTAGAGGGCTTGTTCTTGTCTCTTAGCACTAACCTTTTGTACCTACTTCTTTCCGTTTCTTGTTTTTACATTGTGATTGTTTCAGGTCCTGGGTTTTTTTGGTTTTTTTTGTGGGTTTTGTTTGTTTGTTTGTTTTGTTTTTAAAAAAAGGTGTTGTGTAGCCCAGTAGCCTATTCCTGGAGCTCACTTTCATATTTCAGTGACTTTCTAGCCTGACATCTTTACCATTTGTCCCTAACATTGATCTGCACCGGTGGTGGCTGTGATCTCCTGTGTTTTTGTATTATTTCAGTGTAGTATCACTACAATAGTAGTACTGATAACAAGGCATCCTCCATGATTTACCTTAGGTGAGATTCTCTGAGATGCTACATCTCCTGCACAGATGATGTCCTGGCACATTAAACTTCCTTCCAAAGAAGGCAGGATGCAAGATCCAATATAGCTAAGAAGTAAACAAGAGTTTACAAACTTATTTCACACATTTCTGTCACGTACCAGTAAAAAAATTGTAATTAACCAACAAAAAGTATTTTATCAACTTGATGGGGGAAAAAGAATATAAAAATATAATTTACATTTGGTTTTGTTGTATCAAAGGCATGGTACTATATACTTTATATGAAAATACTGATTTGTATTCTAACCAAATATTTTTATTGGCTGTATTTTTAAAATCGATAAATATATTAGTACATTATTTCCAGCAGAGACAGTAGATGACTAAGAGTCCTGACATCTCTGGATAATGTTTACATGCAAATCTGTAACTCTTCCCCAAGGCAAAGAGGAACCCATGTTGAAAGACAAACAAGAAAAACAGTATCTGTATAAATTTTGTTTATATATTGCTAAGATGGATATGTAATAAAAATGAAGCTATCACTGATGTATATGACAGATATAGATACTGCACATATAAATTCTGTTCTAACTACTGATATTACTATTCCCTTTGATGTGAACTTTCATATAAAGTTTAGAATATTGTGCACTAATCCATTAACCATGTCAGAAATGATAACCCAGGGTTTAAGTCGCTGGTGCTGATGTCTAGGTAGGGCAGGGTTAGAATCAGAATCTGAATGAAAAACTGAAGGAAGTACATAAACGGGATTTGATGAAACCAAAAGTGGGGAAAGAATGACAGTAGGGTACAGGATTTGAATAAGGACACAAGATAGAGTTGTATCTGATCATTAGGTAAGGCAAGATCAGAAGATGAGTTAAAAATCTCTCGTAATTATAGTAAAATCCAAAATGAGGAACAGGTAGAGATGTCTGAAAGAAACTGCTAAGAAAAAGAATTGAAGGCCTAGCCTTGAGGACAAATTGTGGCATAAGCAAGCAAGCAAAGATCATAATGTGCAACTGCAGGTAAATGGCATCTTGAGTTGGAAAAAAAAAAAAACAGGTGAAATTAAATGAAATATGTGTGGAGGGAAGAAGGGTCAACCCAGTCTTGGATCTGCTTTGTTAGGCTTTTAGTTGTTGGAGAGACAAACTCTGTCTGTCTGAACTAAAATGTGCCCTTTTCTGAACTGTGATATTCAAATTCTTAATAATGGAAAAGATAATATAAAGGAATATATAAATTCTATAAATTTATATTCCTATATAAAGGAATATAAAGAAAATAAATAAAGAAAATCATATTCTGCTATGCTTCTGTGTTCAATGCAAGCAGGATGATGATTGAATCTTTTAGTGAAAATGAAATATTTTTCAGTCTGCTAAGTAGAAGCTTGACCAATATTTTGTTGTGAGAAACTGTTTTAAACCCCCAAGCCCGTGGATGTGCATTCATGAGGTTTAGAAAATGTGACTGAAAGAGTCTGCTAAAAGTGTCAGCAGTGCTGTTATCATTCCAACATCAAGGAAGGCAGATAGTCTAAACCGGATTATTATGAACTAATTTACTTTGACATCAGTTTTTGGTTAGCGAAGCAGACATGGGATTTCAAGATTTAAAGAATATAACTGCAATACAAATCTAGTTATAATACAGTTATAATATGTTATATACAGTTTTGAAAACTGTGTCTTAAAAAGAGATTAGAAATTTGGTTGATTAAGGCAACTCTTTGACTACAGCAGATTCTTGTGAAGGATTTAACTTGTAAAGCTGAACAGCATTCTCATTAAAAAATGAGCTTCAATAAAGCAAATATTTAAGAAGGTATTTAAGAAGAACTGCCTGATTGGTCTTGGGCAATAATTGTCAACAAGGGTATTTGTGAGCTCTGCAGAGATCTGACCTAAAACTACTCAATGTTTTCCTCAGTTATTCAGAAGCAAATACACAGTCATTTCTGAGTAAACTTTGTTAGATGACCTGGAAGTTGGTGTGACAGCAGTGAAAACATGGCTGTCCTTGATCTCTTAATAAACTGTGCCCTTGCACAGTGTATCTGACAGCAACTTGAAGCAGAGTTACACATCTGTGAGTAAGGCTTGGCAAATCATAGAATGATTAAGATTGGAAAAGACCTTTAAGATCATCTAGTCCAATCATCTGTCTACCACTAGTATTGCCCATTAAACCATATCCCTGAGTACTACATCTACCCTTACCCTAATGGTTCTAGGGAAAGTGATTCCACCACCTCTCTGAGCATCCTGTTCCTATGCCTAACCGTTCTTTCGGAGAAGAAATTTTTCCTAACTTGAACCTCCCCTGACACAACTCTAGGCCATTCCATCTTGTCCTATCAGTGTTACCTGGGAGAAGAGGCCAACCCCTTCCTCACCACAACCTCCTTTCAGATGGCCATAGAGAACCCCCCTGAGCCTTTTCCATACTGAACCATCCCAGTTCCCTCAGTCACTCCCCATAAGACTTGTGCTCCAGACCCATCACCAGGTAGACACTTCCCACCAAGTTGGTGTTGCCTGCAAGCTTATTGAGGGTGTGCTCAATTCCCACATCCAAATCATCAATGAAGATATTAACCAGGATGGGCTCTTGTGACTGGTTGCCAGCTGGATTTAACTCCATTCACAACCTCTGTCTGGAGTGTACCAATGCTTTGTGGTTAGGGTTATGGTGGAGTATAAAAAGGAGTGAATGTTTTTTTCCCAGAAAGCAATCTGCTCTGAAATATGTCTGACATAATGTAACTGAAGTGCACTGTCAGTTTCAGTGCTATATCTAAAACGCCTAGAAGGAGTCTTGGGCTTATACGTACAAGAGTAAGAGCTCACTTTTTAAACTTCATCTGAACGTACTTTGGGGGTTGTTAGTTTTAAAGAGATGCTAAAAATAAGTGTGGATAACACACCTCAAAATGATTTGAGAGCAAAAGTCAGGTAGAATGGGGAAAAGCAAGGTATACTGTTGTAAAAAGAAGCTTATGGGGCAAACTGCCAGAAGAAGTAGCAGATTCATTTTTCTCTTATTGTCCTCTGATTGCAGCTGGATACTTCTTGAGAAAATGTGTTTTAAATCAACACATTGCTGTAAGTTACTGTGTGAAACATCATGGCTTTTAATATGGTATGGCCAGCATATAACAGTGGCAATCTATTGCCTGATTTTAGCCTTCACCAGAACTATTGTAATTTAAGGCCTCTTATCTAACATGGGGTTTGCTCCAGAGCTCCAGATGCTGTATGTGTGGGGAGTCCAACTTCTCATCCTCAGTGGATTCAGGGACTCTTCTCACCCAGCCCTGCAGCATTTCTGGTTGATCTTGTTAAGCAAAGGCAGCGCATCTGAAATACAGGCTATTAAGAAACTGGGCAGATGTTTTCTGAAGTACCTTACCTAATCTTTTCTGTGAGGATGTTCACGTGTGCACAACTAGGTCTTTAAAATAGGTCGCAAAAGCACTGGAGCAATTTTAAACCAAATCCTGAAGACTGCAACTGGGTGAGAAATAAATAGGAGTCAGCTGACAATGGAATGCTAATTGAGACTTAATGGGGAAAACACATTGGTAGGGGATAAAGAATTTCTGGTAACTTATAGCTAATGGAAAGTGGGGGGTAAGCCAGTTAACCCTTTGTACTCTTCACAGCTCGATTTGTTTGCTTGCTTGCTTTTTTTTTTCTTTAGATTGGTTCTTTACAACCAAACAAGAAGAGTTACTGCATGCATTTGCTGTTTTTATTTGAGAGATAAATTAAAAAGTGACGCTTTTATAATCAAGCAGAACTGTCTGAAATTTCTATTCTCTATGCAGTCATATCTGTTTTATTACATGCTGGCTTTTATTGAACTCCGTTTTTTTATTTCATTCTCGCATTACTTATTTTTTGTGTGTGTGATTTTCAGCAATTTTGTTTTTACTTTTCTGGTGAGGGCTATCAGTTAGTTAGAGAAGTTTCCCTAGTTTTATGATTGCTTTTATCAGCTGTTTATCCAATGGAAGGCTTAAGTGGAAATTATGTTGGTGTAATTTACTGGTGCCTCTGGTAAAACTTTTTAAAAGTCATGACTTTATTTCAGCTGATATTACTACTATCCAGTTTACATGCACTTTTACAGCCCTTTATACCTACCTATGGGGCAGTTTTGAAAAGGTTGCGATGAGATTTCATTTGAAATTCTTCTCACTAAAATTAACTTTTTCTTGAAAATCAGAATATTCTTCAATATATGACACAAGATTCCTGAGTCCTGCATCTCAACTCTTTTTTTCTATCCATACGAGAAATATTTTGCTGTTAAAGCTGGGGTCAGATTTAAGTCATGATTCTGCAAGTCCTTATGAAAACAGCTTCATGATGGCTTTTTCCTTGTGCCCAGCTACATTAGCATTTTAACTCTGCAAATCTGATGTACTGGAAATCAGTTAGAATCAAATATCCCAGGAAAAAAAAATCCTGTATTTTTGCTTCTTTATTATACTTGTTTGGAGAAATGGGGAAAAAAAAAAATTACCATCTAAAGTGAAGAGTGCAGGAGCCTGAACAGTAAATAGAATTACTTAGGATAGTGACCATTTCAGTTGCTACAGTTTCATCTAAGCAGTAATAAAAAAAAACAAGAATATTAACCTTCTTCATAGTTTTGCCAGATGTTTTAAGAAGCTCCACTTCGGTGCTAGATGTAAACAGTAGCATTTATTACATTGAATAGAGAGCAGCTATCCCAGAATCCTTTTTATTATCCATATAGTCCACTTTTGAATTTATAATCAAGTGGGTTTTTCAATCTTACAATCATATGTCTTGCAACAAACTGCTATTCTGTGATGGCAAATAGATGCAGAAGTAAAAAGGGAGCAAATCCTAAACCCAGTGCTATCAGTATGATTTCCCTTGAAATGAAAAAGAGAATATTTGTTGCCTATTCATTTATGTACACCCAGATCTCTTCCTCCATTTTGCTTCAGTGTATAGTTCAGTGGGATTTTTTGCACGTTAAACATGCATTTGGGAATTATTCAGGAAAAGTATCTGGGGCCACAGAGTTCAGGACTCTTCAGAGGCATTAGTTCAGATGTGTTGCAAGAACCTATTACATGTAAGTGCTGAAAGGAGATACCACAGTTGTGGAAGAATATAATTTTTGGCATGGCTGTGCATGCAAATTCTGGCTTCTAAAATATAGGTGAGTTTTAATTACTAAAGCTGAAACTGTGATTTAACACTTTTTAGTTACCTTTCAACTGGATACAATTTCCAAATGGAATTCTGGATTTTAGTTTTGATTATTACATATTGTCTGCTGTTTGTTTCCTAACTGTCCCAACATTCGATTTACTCTAATGTTGATGTTATAAAAGGCAAGGTGTGCAAGGATTGACAGTGATGATCCTGCATATAAATTAAATCAAGCAAATTGATACAAGATAAAATTACCAAATCAACCTTTTTTATTCTATATTTTATGGAATACCTAATGTATGTTTGGCAGTAATTTACTCTTGCACATGAATTTCTGACAGTTTCGATTCTTCTGGCTTATTAATCAATGTAGTCAGCACCAGAGCAATTTTTATGAGACTCACTAGTCATCAAAAATTTATTACCAGATAAATCAAAGAAACAACTAGCATCTTAATAAGGTGAGCAAAGTAGCATGTAAAAAATCATTCACTACATGATTTTGACACTTGTACATAGCATTTACTGCTCAGGTCAAATATTCTGTTTGTATTTTCATTAAAAGAATCATCTCAGGGACAAAATTGCTTCCTTTTGTGCTAGGCCTTTCTTTCCTTAATTTTTCATATCTAGATATGTGTATTTCATGTTTGCTCTATTCTGATAAGCATGAACTTCTATGTAAAACATAATGAAGAACATAAACTCTAAAACTTGTGGAATTAGTTGTAACTAATACTTTGCACTTTAGGAGTAAGACAGGATGGAAGGGAAGATTATTGAGAGCAGCATCAGCTTATGGTTGTGTAAGGAATTCTGATATTTGTTCCAGCTCAACCTGTCATATTTGATACAGTAAT